GTTTCGAATTCAGCTTTCATACGCTGGTGCGTGAAATTTTTAACTGTTTTCCAATGTTAGAACTATTTTTGCATGGACAGAAGTACAATGCAGTGAAAATCATTAACAGGCAGTCGATGGGCTGAATTGCACAAAACGCATGATCGCACCAGCTAGTCTGGTGCGCGTTGCCATTTATTTAACTTACGCTGGCACCACATTCACACTATCACCAGTGGCCGTGGGGAAACCCTACCTGCCTTCCGGAAAAAAAAATTTTTGCAGCTTGTGTATGAGACGGGCCGAGCCGAGCCGAGCCGTGTCTTAGTAGCTCTTAATTGGCGTAAAAGGATAACGGTAGAGCTAGATAGCCAAGCTGCATAGCTGCATATTTCGTAAGCCGTTCGTTGTCTTTGGAAACACTGATTTCATGTCCGTCATCGCCTTCTTTACTCTCGTTTGCATCTGCTGGTCCGATAATGAAGGATAGAAAAAGGTAGGTTTCAAAAAGTACAGGAACTCAGTAAAGTGCCTTTGGTGACTGGAAATTTGAACTCTACGAATGCTTGGAACAAATGTCAATATGCATACAGTTTGTGAATGACTTGAAGGACATAACTGAAATAATTGGCCAGCGCACGGGCTGCCCATACGAAGATGCGTTTTTGCATAATTCCTCGCAGTTTTCGTCGCTACCGGCACCGGTTTTTAACTCGGGGATCTGAAATGCTAGAAAGCTAAAATTTTAAGGGGACGTTCCCCGTCCATGTAAGTGTTTTTGAGCTCAAACCCAGCCCCCGGGTAAGCGTGGTATTCGCGTACGAGCCCGACGAAACTTTCCTCGGATAAATCCATAACTCGGGAATCTGATAAGCCAAAGGACTGTAATTTTAAGAGGATATATTCCGCCTGTCCAAGTTTCATTCAGTTCAAACCCAACACTCGGGTATGCGTGGTAAGCACACACTGGCCTGTGAAAATTTTCCTCCGGTAAGTTGCTAACTCAGGAGCCAATGAAGCCAAAAAGCTGAAATTTTAAGGTGGTGTTTTCTGACAGTTCTGGCAGGCAGTCTTAATTTGTTTAGTTAGAAGCATTTGCCGAAAAAGTCGGTGCCGGTAGCAACAAAAACTGCGAGGAACCATGCAAAAAGCGCATCTTCGCTCGGGCAGCCCGTGCGTTGGCCAATTAGTTATCTTTTGGAGAGACGACGGGGAGGCGGGGGAGAGGGAGGGGAATTGGAGTTTCCTTTTTACTTTTGCAAACCTTGCTTCGAACTCCTGACTTGCACCCTTCCCCTCCTGTATCCGATCCTTCAACCACTCCTTTCAGAGCCGAATCAGAGCACCCACCACCTCCAATCACAGTTACCGTTTATTGTCCTGAACCCCTAATCAGCAACTTCATTCCTCCCCACTACCCTAGCCTCAGTTGTGCCCTCTG